ACATTTACTCTTATCATACATCATTTAGTAATTATTTGTCTTTCCACCCTTCAGCTTCTTCTCGGGGATCTGGGAAGCATCCTCAGCTGATGCCATCAACTCCAAGATGGGCTGTCGCAAATGGTGCTGGTGTCATTCTAAGTGTTTGTGAGGAGGAAGTTGCTCGATATGCAACTTCTACGTTAACTGCAGTTGCTGTCCCTGCTCTCTTACTCCCTCCTCCAACTACAGCTTTAGATGAGCATTTGGTTGCCGGGCTGCCAGCTCTGGAGCCATACGCATGTTTGTTTCACAGGTGAATCTACTGATCACATTGTTCATTTAATTTCAGGAATCTTACATGCACCTGCACTTTCTCATTATTGCATTACTATTGTCTAGATACTATGCCTTTGCGACTCCCAGTGCAACACAAAGATTGCTTCTTGGACTCTTAGAAGCACCTCCATCTTGGGCTCCAGATGCACTCGATGCTGCAGTACAGCTCGTGGAACTCCTCCGAGCGGCAGAAGATTATGCAAATGGCATCCGAGTAAGTTTGGCATTATCATTAGCAAACTATTTATTTCCCAGGCAAAAATTTGGCTTACTCAATGTCAAGGTGCATTGGGGCTGCTGACTTTAGCTTCACTATCAATATGCTAAAGAAATTTCGACCTCATATTTCCTTTTCGTCGCAAATTTAAAATGCAGCTTCCGAGGAACTGGATGCACTTGCATTTCTTGCGCGCAATAGGGACTGCAATGTCGATGGGACCTGGAATCGCTGCCGATGCTGCTGCTGCTCTACTTTTCCGTATACTATCGCAGCCTGCATTGCTCTTCCCACCTCTGAGGCAAGTCGACGGAGTGAAAGTTCAGCATGAACCTTTAGGTGAATACATCTCAAGCTACAGAAAGCAGGTAAATATGAGAGTCAGGTTGTTGTTTTGTTTAATTGCACTAGAGCCATGAACATGACCATGATCTTAAAACTATTATCAATGACCAGATAGAAGTACCAGCAGCTGAAGCAACCATCGAAGCTACCGCTCAGGGAATTGCATCCATGCTATGTGCACATGGTCCTGAAGTAGAGTGGAGGATCTGCACCATATGGGAAGCTGCCTACGGCCTAATTCCTCTTGGTTCATCGGTCGTTGATCTCCCCGAAATCATTGTTGCAGCTCCACTGCAACCTCCAATACTTTCATGGAACCTCTACATTCCTCTACTGAAAGTCCTTGAGTACCTCCCCCGCGGGAGCCCCTCGGAAGCATGTCTAATGAAGATATTTGTCGCCACCGTTGAAGCCATACTCCGCCGGACATTCCCACCGGAATCTTCTTCCTCTGCCACCGAACAAGCGAGTAAAATGACAAGTTATTATCATCAGTCTGCTTCAAAGAACCTTGCTGTTGCAGAACTCCGCACTATGGTGCACTCACTGTTCCTCGAGTCCTGTGCTGCACCAGAGCTGGCTTCCCGCTTGCTCTTTGTTGTGTTGACTGTCTGTGTGAGCCACGAAGCTCAGACTTCAAATGGTGGCAACAAGAGACAGAGAGGCGGCGATTTGAGGTCTAGGAAGACAAAGAAGCAAGGGCCTGTCGCGGCGTTTGATTCGTATGTTCTCGCCGCAGTTTGCGCCCTAGCTTGCGAGCTCCAGCTGTTCCCTTTCATTTCTTCCCGTGGTGGGATGAACAACAACAATTCACAGAGTGGAGAAGCCAAATTACCTGCAAAGATGAGTAATGGATCATCTTCAGCGATCGGCGATATGAAGAGCAGCATTGATTCTGCAATCAATCATACTCGGAGACTGCTGGCGATTCTGGAAGCTCTGTTCTCATTGAAGCCGTCTTCCGTTGGGACATCGTGGGGTTACAGCTCAAACGAGATCGTTGCAGCAGCTATGGTCGCTGCTCATGTATCGGAGCTATTTCGGAGATCGAAAACTTGCATGCATGCTCTCGCTGTCTTCATTCGCTGCAAATGGGATGAAGAGATTTACAGCAGGGCTTCATCGCTGTACAGCCTCATCGACATTCATAGTAAAGCGGTGGCTTCCATAGTAAACAAGGCAGAACCTTTGGAAGCGAATTTCCCAGCGCCTGTCTGGAACAAATCCCTTCTTGCTTTTGAAGGTAAGAAGAAAAATCGAAACGGAAATGTTGGTGTTGGGTTTGAGACTGGTCAATCGTATGGTCAGCAACCTGGGGAATCATATCTAGAGGTGAAGGTGAAATCAGGGAAGGGGATAGAAGGGTTCTCGTTGGATGCTTCGGATTTGGCGAATTTCTTGACAAAGGATAGGCACATTGGACTCAGTTGCAGCGCACAAGTTCTGCTGAGATCAGTTCTTGCTGAGAAACAAGAACTGTGCTTCTCAGTTGTCTCTCTGCTATGGCACAAGTTGATAGCAGCGCCCGAAACTCAGCCTAGCGCTGAAAGCACTTCTGCGCAGCAAGGATGGAGACAGGTATGTGCAAGTTACGACATATAAACTGGATGTCAGGGGGAAAAAAAACGTGTTTATTGTGCGGTGTAGTATGGGTATTAAATGAGTTTGAACATGCAGGTTGTTGATGCGATGTGCAATGTGGTGGCAGCTTCGCCAGCAAAAGCAGCTACAGCAGTTGTTCTTCAGGTCTTAATTTTGTTTTCGCTTTTGCATTTCTTATGAAGTGGAGAACTACAGGCAGATTTCTAGGCATCTGTTATAGAGAATTTTTATGAGAAATTTGGATCACTTTCATGACTGTGTATTACTGCAGGCTGATAGGGAATTGCAACCTTGGATTGCCAAAGATGACGAGAACAGTCAAAAGATATGGCGAGTCAACCAGCGGATAGTCAAGCTAATTGGCGAGCTCATGCGAAATCATGACACTCCTGAATCATTGGTGATCTTAGCGAGTGCGTCAGATCTGCTTCTACGTGCCACTGATGGGATGCTCGTCGATGGGGAAGCTTGCACTTTGCCCCAATTAGAGGTGACATACCAACCATCCATATTCTCTCTCTAGCTCATCACATTTCCAAGTGACCCAGATGTTTCATTAATCTGATCAGCTTACTAGGCCTACTGATTTTAAGGGTCAATTACATCAGGAGTCGCTGAGAAATCAGTCACTTCGATCTTCAACAGATGTGTGACAGGGGTCTGAAGTAACTAACAGAAGAAATTCTCTGTTCATCACTGTTACGTTCTGTGTAGTAAAAATGTAATCATATTGACACAGTACTCTAAAACAAATAGGGAAAGTGAGGCATTATGGTGGCTTCAAATAAGTATGAGTTGGAATCAGGTCGAGTTATGAGTCTAGTCTGGATCGAATTGTGAGATAAAGTAGCTGTTCCATATAGCTAGGATTCATGGTGACTTTTCCTGGTAGTAGTCTGAGGATTGGGACATTAGCCTGAACAAGTTGGATGGAAAAAAATGGACCCAATGATTTATTCGTTAGTGTTCTTTTTGTGTAATCCTTGAATCTGCGGGCCTATAACTATTGCGAATTTCAACCTTAACAGCTGCTGGAAGCAACAGCGAGAGCAGTTCGGTCAGTGGTGACTTGGGGAGAAACTGGATGTGCTGTTGCGGATGGTCTCTCAAATCTCCTCAAGGTAAATAAACCACCCCGGAAAATCTTGTCACGCAAGCTACTGTTCAGCTACAAGATTTCTTGTCCATGAAGGCATCATGAATGTGACACATTTCTTCGATGTATGCAGTGTCGTCTACCAGCAACAGTCCGATGCCTGTCTCACCCCAGTGCTCACGTCCGAGCTCTGAGCATGTCAGTACTCCGGGACATCCTGCACAACACGTCGATAAAAACGTTCCACAAGCACGCCGAGAAGAATGGCGCCAACGGTACTCGTTCCTCGTACCAGTACTTCAATGTCGACGTCATCGACTGGCAAGCGGACATCGACAAGTGTCTTGCGTGGGAAGCTCACAGCCAGCTGGCGAGAGGGATGCCTATCGACTTCCTCGACACGGCAGCAAAGGAACTGGGTTGTACCATCTCTATCTGACACCATCATCATCACTTACAGGCCTGACCCGCACAGATAGAAGCTACACGACTTTTTTCGTTTCGCAGTATATAGTCATAGAGCTGACAGCGGAAGAGGGGGCGAGCTGGTGATAGGGGGTCAATCAAATCATGATCAGAATGTGGGGGGTGATACTTCTTCATTGCTGTTATTTGGCTTCCGTCTCCAGCTGCTGCTCTATTTCTAAGTCCAGATGTTGTATCTTACACATGTTTTTTTCGGGGATTTGACGACAATGATGGCTTTACGAACAAAGATAGAACTGAGGAATTGAGTTGTTATGTTGATATATTGGAGTTCCACTTTGTGTATTCAACAGATGAAACTGAACTGATGTTAGATATTGTAAAGCATGCTTTGTTTCAGTTCCAAGCAAGTGCCAATTTCTTTTGCATATATAGAGACTTTGGTATTCTTGCATTAACGTCTTTACCTCTTAACAGTTAACACCCAATGAGTTCCACTTACGAGTCGTTTGGATGCAACATTTTGGTTATGTGGGAGGTATTTGAAATGCCACATTATGTGTCAATTGAATCGCCACGACTTGGAAATGCCACATAATTTTTTTTAGGAAGCCAAACGTGATAATTTGGCTGAAATACCTCAAAATGAGTTATTTCAGCCAAAATACCTCAGCGAAATGCTGCATCCAAACGACTCGTTAAACGGACGAAGAATAGAAGCCTACAATCTCTGAAACTCGGAGGCTGTAGAAAATCGTAGGGTCTTAAAATTTGTGGATGAGTTTGTGTTCACCATCATTCAACTCGAGATTCATTGGTTGGATGGTTAAAAACGGTTGAAACCGACCTTTGTACACCCCTACATATGATACTGAAGATAGAAGCTCCGCTAACAATAGGGTTAATTTAGCAACCACGTGAATTTTCAGTGACTAAAATTGAAATTAGCCCATAAGCCGTTGATACGGCACGTTTCATCTTCGTATTCGCTCCAGACTTGCAGTTCTCTCCTCCTTCCCTAACCTTCAATCAACGGCACAACGCGTCGCCGGCTTTGCAGTCCTTCTTCGCACCCAAATCCAGCCACCGCCGCGACTCCCCCCGAATTCGCGGAACCCGGCGGCGGAAGTCTACGCCGACACTCTCCTTCCCGGTATCACTTCGAGTTTGACACTCTGTTAGTCGTACGCAGGGGCGAAGCAGGTAACTCGACTGACTCTCTATCTTGGTTTGCTGAATCAGAACCGAATTAGTGGATGCGACTAAAGATTGCTTAGCCTCTACCTTTTGATTTTTCAACGATTCGGATTCCTTTCAGGCCGATGAAAGCCTGAAAATCTGCTTGCCTTTTGTTCATGAAGTGCTCCAACAATTTTTGAGCTAGGGTTCGGGGTTTTAGGATTGGCCATCCCTGTTCTGGCTTCTTCTTTCAATTGTAATAGCTTTACGTTACCGTCTTCAGTTACAAGAACTTATCTGTGTGTTGGCTGAAAACTGAAAGGGGATTGATTAGCCCATTGGCTCAGAAGAAGTGAACATACCTGTTTGTTTGCTAGTTGGGTTTTCTTGCTCAGGTTTCTGTAGCATTGTATTTTGTTGATTGAACCATCTTGACTGACAGCTCTACTTCGCTCCTGTTTTATATTGACCTCGTTGGATCATGTCGCTCCTGTTTTACATTTTTTAGAATGGTGACATTTCCCTCAAGATGTCCATTTTCATGATCCAAGTTTAGCTTTGATATAGCTCCTAGAGCTAAGTTCTTCCATTTGATCAAATAAAGAACTAAGAAGGATATTTCTACCACATGTTTCTGAAGTCTAAGTTCATGGCTTGAGTGCTTCATGATAGCTTCATTCTTGGTCGACTCTGTGTGTTGATTGCTTTCCAAGTTCTGTGAGTGCGGTTTGCTATTCCTTTTTCATCAGCTGGTTCGATCTCTTGATGCAACTTCATTTGAAAATGGCAGGTGCAAAGATGCAAGTCATTCCTAGTGAAAACCCTCTCTCGGTTTCCGGACCCAGGCCCATGGAATGGTCGACCGTTCCATACTCTGGTCCCGGAGGGCCTGCTTCCAACGGTAAAAACCGGACTTCAAGCTTGGAGTCACCCATAATGCTGCTTACTGGTCATCAAAGTGCCATCTACACTCTTAAATTCAACCCTACCGGAGACCTCATTGCATCTGGTTCACACGACAAGGAGATATTCCTGTGGAATGTCCACGGCGACTGCAAAAACTTCATGGTCCTAAAGGGCCACAAAAATGCAGTCCTCGATCTCCACTGGACCACCGATGGATCAATGATTATATCAGCCAGCCCCGACAAAACTGTCAGGGCATGGGATGTCGAGACAGGGAAACAGATCAAGAAAATGGCCGAGCACTCGTCGTTCGTCAACTCGTGCTGTCCTTCCAGGAGAGGCCCGCCACTCCTCGTCAGTGGTTCAGATGACGGGACAGCCAAGCTCTGGGACCTACGGCAGCGTGGCGCCATTGGCACGTTCCCTGATAAGTACCAGATCACGGCAGTGGGGTTCTCCGATGCTTCGGACAAGATATTTACAGCTGGAATCGACAACGAGGTGAAGGTGTGGGACGTCAGGAAGGGTGAAGTGACGATGAAGCTTGAGGGGCATCAGGATATGATAACTGGGATGCAGTTGAGCCCCGACGGCTCGTACCTCTTGACCAATGGCATGGATTGCAAGCTGTGCATTTGGGATATGAGGCCTTATGCACCGCAGAATCGGTGTGTGAAGATTCTGGAAGGGCACCAGCACAACTTTGAGAAGAATCTGTTGAAGTGTGGGTGGTCTCCTGATGGAAGCAAGGTTACCGCTGGTAGCTCTGATCGGATGGTCTATATATGGGATACTACTACTCGAAGGATACTATACAAGCTTCCTGGCCACACTGGCTCCGTCAACGAGTGTGTCTTTCACCCGACTGAACCGATTGTTGGCTCGTGCAGCAGCGACAAGCAGATTTACCTTGGGGAGATATGATCAAGGCTTAGATATTAACTGTTACAACTGTTTGAAGCATCGTTTTAGCCTTTGGATGTATGGGCGGTAGTGAATTGTGTTGTATCTATCAACTATCATGTAGGTTTTTTGCAACCTGAGTTTGAACTTTTGAACCTTTGATCTAAGGCTTGTCTTTTCGGAAAAAATCCCAATTTACACATATTTTTTAAAAAAATTCTCAAAATACAAAAGTTATGAAAATAATTCTCAATCTACGTTAGTTTGGGCCATCACCGCTGTCGACGAAGACAGTGATTGCATCACTGTTGTCGACGAAGACAATGATTGCATCACCGCTGTCGACGAAGACAGTGATTGCATCACCGCTGTCGACGAAGACAGTGATTGCATCACTGCAGTACACGGCCGCGGTGAAGGCCTGACCTGCGTCGAAACTTTAAACAAACGTAACTTTGTGCTCGGTTATCCGATCGTAGCGAAATTTTTTTTGATTCCGCATAATTTTTCGAGATCTTGCAAGCCGCAAATTGCCATAGGCGGTTTGGTCCCGCCTTCGTCTCGAAAATATGTCGTTTGCTACCCCGAACGAGCCTTTTTTCGATTTCGTCAAACTTTGAACGACCATAACTTTGTGCTCCACAATCCGAAAATCATGAATTTTTTTTTATTTCGCATAACTTTTTAAGGACTACAATTTTTATCATAGACATATTTTCGGAATGTACTTGGATTCCTGAAAAGGAAGGTAAAGTTATTCCCAAAACCCCTTATATCCATAAATAATTCATTTTTTGAAAATTCTCTCATACTAAATATTGTAGTCCTTAAAAAGTTATGCGAAATCAAAAAAAAATTCATGATTTTCGGATTGTGGAGCACAAAGTTATGGTCATTCAAAGTTTGACGAAATCGAAAAATGCTCGTTCGGGGTAGCAAACGACATATTTTCGAGAAGAAGGCGGGACCAAAGCGCCTACGGCAATTTGCGGCTTGCAAGATCTCGAAAAATTATGCGGAATCAAAAAAAATTTCGCTACGATCGGATAACCGAGCACAAAGTTACGTTTGTTTAAAGTTTCGACGCAGGTCAGGCCTTCACCGCGGCCGTGTACTGCAGTGATGCAATCACTGTCTTCATCGACAGCGGTGATGCAATCACTGTCTTCGTCGACAGCGGTGATGCAATCACTGTCTTCGTCGACAACAGTGATGCAATCATTGTCTTCGTCGACAGCGGTGATTGCCCAAACTAACGTAGATTGGGAATTATTTTCATAACGTGTGTATTTTGAGAATTTTTTTAAAAACATGTGTAACTTGGGATTTTTCCCTGTCTTTTCTTAGGCGATGTTTTCTGATACTGCTGTGCGGCTTTTTGTCTGAAAGCAGCATAATTCCAGGTCCTTGCTTTTCTTTGTTCATCAGCATATGGAAGTTTGGTTTATGGGAACTGTGGATGAGGATGGTACAGGTTAATGTCTGGTTGCAAAATACCCTATTTCATATGAAACAATTTTGTCATAATACTCAGGTAGCTTAGCACGTTGAGATGTAGGAATGACAATAGGGCAGGTGAAGTAATTAACTCGAAACATGAGTTAGAGTAGCTCGAGATATTTTAATACGTGACTAGAAGGAAAATGCACCAAAATTCGAAATGAAAGAAAACTAGAGAACTATAAAAACACTTACTCAAATGTGAGTAGAATATATAATGATACGGCTAAAAGATCAGGTCGTTCAAGACATGACTTTAGTCCTTACTAATACGAGTGGGTAATGTTGGAGTGAATTCTACCTCATTAATTAAGCATTAATATCCATATGAAATAAATCTAAGCAAGTCAAATTGAGACAAACAAACCAATTTATAAAATTATCATTGTAACGAAAAGAATCCAGAAAGACAAATACTTTTATCACCCAACCTTTCCTCTTTTCCCCCATTTTTAACATGATATGAACATCAGGTACTTAATTGGTAGGGTACGTAAAGCTCCAAATGACCTAATGCCGTGTCCACTTCCTTTACTCCAATTGTTTGTTCCTCCTCTCCAATTCTCCAGGATTCTTTCCTCTTCCTCTTCTCAACGCAACATACACCAAATTGATGATTTGGTCATCCAATTTCATTCCTAGTTTCAATTTAGTCGTTGCACCACATTCACTTGTGACAGACAACACATGACTAAACTCTAATCAATTTATAGAGAAAGATGACACACTATGAAAATTTTGCTATTTTTTTTTTGTTCGGTTCATCAGTTTTTAAAGATTGTAAAATCGTATATAAGGCTGTGCAATGGTTCGATCCGGTCTGGACTGAATGAAACTCATAAGAACCTCGGTCCATTAGTGAAAGACATTTTAGGACCAAGGACCAGACCATTATTGTATCGGTCCATTTAATTTGGTTTGGTCCGGTCCAAATATCAATATCGGTCCTTTATTTCTTCAATAATCGTAGTTCAACTGTTTTATACAGCTAAAAGATTGCCTATCGGAGTAGACTCCGATATGATGTTTTTTCTGTTCGACCATCGGTATGGTACAATGTAACAAATACTGTTTTTTTTTTTTTTTTTTTGGGTAAAAGAAAACTTAGCTATGAATTATGATTGAACTAAAAAGTTTGATATAACTAACATCAAACTCAAGTGACTATAACTGCAATTTACCTTCCTCCTAAACGATGCCGTCGGAATTGAACCACCTTGTTTCGTTCATTACAAATGGGCTTTAGCCTTTAGGCCCTTTTGTCCGCTACCTTTCTTGCCTGCCTGGCAGTGTTCATGTGCGGTGACCCTCACGGCACTTAACCATAGAGACCCAGCTTGTCCTCTCTCATTCTCATTCCTTTTCTTCTCTCAGTGGCATATATATACAAACAGAAAAATTCCAAAGGGCGTAGTGAAAGGTGAAAAAAAAAGAGAGAAACGAATAGAGGAGAAAAAACGGGGCAGCCCCCATTCGCTCTTGCAGTGAGATTTCGTTTCGACCTTAAACGTAGGGAAGAACCCTAGACAAAAAAAAAAAAAAAAAAAAGAGGTCGAATTGGTTGGATTTTCGTTTGATTTTGGTTCCGTCATACGATTTGGTGGAATTCTGTGTTGTGGGATTTGGGTGGAGAGATTGAAAGCTGTGTTCTTTGTTGTCTCTCTGAATCCCTGTTTGGTGGGTGGGGTTTGTCTCAGGGATTTTATAGTTTCTCGTTTTTGGGTTAACCGGCGATGGGGAAGAAGAGGAAATCCGTGGCGACGAGCCTAGATGAGGTGGATCGGACCATGTACACGACGTTCTGCAGCGCCGCCAGCTCCCTGACTCAGCTCTACACCCAGGCCGCGAACCACCAGAAGCTCACCTTCCAAGCTGGGGAGCGTCACAGCCTTGTAAGATCTCCCCTGTCTCTTCTTAACCCTGATTTTCCCCTTGTCGGCGATGAAAATTTTCCTGTGGAGTTTGGTGGAATTGTTACATTTTGTTGTTGATTGCTGTCGGTGTGGATATATTTTTGGAGTTGGAAATCTATGGGCTTGGCTTTGGTTTTGGATTCTTGCTTATGTATGATGGTTGTCGTGATTTGTTCAGTTGATTACTGGTTTCATCTGAAGCACATGTTGAAGTTTTGGGGAGATAAGATGCTATCGTTGGCCACATGTGGCTTAGTTTTGGTTTTGAGTGTTTCTAGCCATTGAGTGGAGGTGTTGAAGGAAGCTGGCAATTGAAGATAATTTCACCTGAGACCCTCGTATTTCACTTGCAATTGAAGATGGGTTTACTAGTTGGACCACAGGTTGTGGTTGTGTAATGAATAGAAGAAGTAAATGAGAATCGAGCATTAGGGGCTGAATACATATAGAATGTGGTGTTGCTTCTGTTTACCCTTGGTGAAGCATTGTTTGAGAGGTCATATAGTGAAGAAGAAACTAGAGTTCTTTGGTCTTTTTTATATTTTTTGAGTGGACAAGGTTTAGTATTACCAATTATGGTAAAGTGGTTGCTACTGACGTGGGTGGTGCCTTGAGTGAGTTTTCGAGGTTGTTTTACAGTAGGATTTTAGTTCTGAGCTTGTAGGTTGCCTATCTTGCTCCGTTCAGTCAATTCTGGTCTGCCTTTACTTTTATTTTTAGCAGGGTCTATGTTGTCTTTGATTTGGTGTTCTATAGCTCCTTGATTAGATTGTTTTTGTACATTAAATACGTGATTATCCTGGCTTATGTGCTCATCTGTGTCATGTATACAGGAAAAGCTCTATCAGTGGATTTGGCGGCAGCAAGAGGCTGGCTCGAGGGTGGCAACTTCTGATGTCCTCAATTACATTCAGGTTTGTCTCAACCTTTCACGGCAAATAAGTGCCATTAGTATACAATTATATTGATGAAATATTCAACTTCACGCACACCTTGTGGTTTGGTTCATGTCTGTTTGATATATGTGGTTAATAACATTATACATAAATTAGTGTTATCCATCTGCAATTAATCTAATCAAATTCGTATCATGCTGTAGAATGAGCTGGATTACTGCGGAGAAGAGCCATCAATGTCTCCAAGAGCACAACCCCAGAGTATCCAACCACCAATGCAGTCATTGAGTTCCGGCTTTCTGAATTCCTCAATTTCATCAGGTTCTTCTGGACCCACAAGTGGTAGCCATGTGAGCCGTAACGAGCACTGCGACCAGCAATCGAAGAACTCGGTCTTCTCCAATGCTTTGTCCAGTCCAGTAAGAAGAAACCTCCAGAACTACCACATTGCTCAAGGTGGAGGCTATTACCCAGCTGGTGCAGCAGCACCTCCTCCGGGGAACGGACCCCGCAACAACGACAGCACCTTTCTTCAGCCACAAAACCGGGATACGCATTCTAATGATTCATCTATGGACATCTAGGAAGGAGGTAAAGGGGTTTTGTGCCATGTGCCTGGTCAAATAGACAACGAAGGCATTGCATTTCCTAAACCCTGTTTTCTCTACCTGGTGGTTCATGTGGTCTCTTTAGGCGTGTGAAAACAAACAGGTTAGCATCAGATGAAGCAATAATCAGATGTTGCTGCTTCTGGTGCTACTAGTTGAAGTGTGCATGAAGAAGAAGATTGAAGAATACTGAAAACTTGACGTGGTTCTGCTTGGTGCAGCAAGGCTTTTCATTAGTTGGGGGTCGTTTGATTGAAAGGTATATCTGGTTCTGTTATCCTTTCTGTAATTCTTGTCTTCATTTTGAATGCTTTTGTTGGGTCATTCTGAATTGGTTTGGCCGTTTGGGGGGTGGGAGTGGTCGATCGCCATGTAAAGAGAGTTCTTTGTTAATTTGGTGACAATCTCTTTTTCTGTTCTCTTCTTCAATGTTTCTATTGTTAGTGTAAGGTGGTCTGTTGTTTGCTGTATCTTCACTTCTTTACTATTGTAGCTTTGTCATGCCTTATACTATAGCGAGACATAATGGTTAAAATAGAAATTTGCTCAATCTATCATGTTGAAGTTCAGTTCCTTTGTTTTTCCATTGAAATGTCTGTGTTAGGGGTGTAGGGATGGCGACTATATTCGTTATCCTACCCAAAGTAGTTCGGGTGTTAGTGTTACTCATTTTATACCCACACAAGAATTGGATAGAGATCAAAATCATGCACATATTTGTTTGGGTTTTGAGTATTCACATGTATACTCACATTATATAAGTCAAAAAGTACGGTAATAAATCATTATAATGTAGAAAATTAACTAAAAATGTGATTTTACAAAAATATTATATCTGTATGCTAAATATCAAATATGTTGAAAAAAATAATTATTATTTTTGAATAAAATACATCTGTATGTGTATAATTGATCGGGTTCGGGTTGGATAGTGTGAAAACTAAGCTCATTTATTACTGACAATATTTGGGTTCGGCTCTTACCGTATCCACTGAAAATCCTTCAAGTTTGAGTTTACCCTGTCTGTGAGATTAGGTCGGATTCAGACGAATATCAATGCAGCAAAATTCTTCCGATCTTTCTCGTGATGCTCCCAATGTTGTTTTTGTCACCATTTTATTTGCTTTGTTATTTGAATGGGAGTTTTTCATATCTAGTATAGGAAGCAATGGGAAGATGAAGGGGTCGTTTGCTTGTTGGATTTGGAAAATGAGGGTTTTGGCCAACAAAAACCTTGGGATTTATGTTGGATTTATTGGATTATGGATTTGAAGAGTCTAATGTTTGCATGATAGATTTGATGAAGGATTTGTGATGGATTTGTTAAATAAATAACTAACCATCAAGGATTTGCAAATCCCAAATCAATATGTGGGATTTACAAATCCGTGGGGTCCACGGATTTGGTTCCAAAATAAAGATCAAATCCGTGGACCCCACGGATTTAGCACCCTTCAACAAACAATGGACTTATGTTAAATCCATCAAGTTTGGGATTTACGTACCAAATCCATGACCCAAATCCAACAAGCAAACGACCCCGAAGAGTCTAAATGATCAGCTCTTTTTTAGCTCGTAAAAGAATTTTTTAGATGTGTGTTGATTAAGATTTAGTGGCTATTATATGACTCATCAACCATGTTGAGCTAGAATGTCTCGAGGCACGGAGAATTACCGTAAGATATATCTAGCGATAAGTACTTAGCTCTACATGAGCAATATCTAAGTGATATTTAGTAGGGTGAAAATTGGTGCACCCGTTTACATTTTATAGGCAACCAAAACCACAAAGTTATAATTATGCTAACTACAATTCGCATCATAGTGGTTTGTGGCTATCCACTACTCATTGTGGCTTGGTTGTGATTGCTCATGAAATTTCATCTTTCAATACGTGAAGCATTGCAGCCTCCACCAAAAAATCATATACTCTCCACTGAAATGTAGAGATGTAGTGTTGTATTATTCGCGGGAATAAAAAGTATTTGGCATTCGATTTTGGCTTCTAATAGAAATAGACGAAAATCTTTGTTTTACTAAATGCAAATTAATTCCGCATGACTTGCGCTAGAAATTTTAACTATGCTAATGAGTTATTTTAGCATTCTACAAAATTAGTTCTTACTCCTTACATTAGAAATATTAATAATAAATGTGGTAAAATTAAAGGTAAAACAAAATATTGTTACTTATTGATTAATTATTATGGTTAGTAGTAGATCTAACAAAGGTTTTTTGGTCTAATGTGATCACAATGGATTTTGTTGGTTAACCTTTGTGATTAGTGGGTAACTATTAACCATAATAATCATTATTTTACTAATCACATCTAACCCGCTATCCACAACGCGTGCCGGTTATCCACTAACAACAAACCAAACTTCCACCCCTAATATTTGGTGCCATTGTAAAGTTTGTTATTTATCAAAGTATTTCCTTTAGTATACATTCTCCAGAGCAACTTGGTCTTTTCCATTATATTTTCTCGTTCGCTCCACTTTCTAAAAAAAATAACACATCAATCAACAAAACTTTCATCCATATATCTTTCTTGTTGATAAGTCAACTATTTAAATCGAATGTGGACACACAATCTCTCTTCACTACCAAGAATCATATGGCCCCAAATATTTGAGTTGTTAGGAAATGTTCAATAATACATCACATATCATTTAATAATACCACCTCCCTCAAACAAAAACCACCATATGTGGGTTTGAAACTCGTAGTGATCCGAATACTATGTACTAAAGAAATGATGTCGACGAGATTCGACCAAAAAAACTCTGAGTCACAAATGACTTACTAACATTCACTAAGATATGACAAAAGTAAAAAGAGGTCGATAGCAAATCACAATCGAAGAAATCCTGTAGTTCTATTAGCCAACAAGGTTTTATTGACTAGTTGTCTATCTCGGTAACAACATTATTGTGATCTAGACATCAGGCCCTCATTAGTTTACCAAATATCTTCGTTAGCAAAATTCATAAGCATATTGTTTATTAATAATAAAGTACAAATGGAAGAACTAATTGAACACAACAACCACCACCAACCGAATTAGAAAAATTAGGTTAAAATGATTAGTAATTGAACACATCATTACTTACCATCTTCATACAATAAAAATTCAGTTTAAAAGCTAAGCTTACCAAACAAAAGCAAAAACTTTCCCTTTACAGTTTACCCCTCGCACTTCCTATGTAAAGGTAAGGCCTTTCCTCATATTAAAATAGTTTCATAAATCTTAAAAGAAAATAGTTAATTTCAAAGTTTATAAAAAAGAAATAGCCTCAAATAAAAATAAAATCTTGAATAATAATGGAAGTGATAGAAATACAAGAGGGGACCCGTAGCTATCATGCGCCATGAAATCACTATCCATCCATAAACCCCACTTGTTTATATATAATAGATAATAATGAGTCATTTGAGCCAAAGATTATGACTTTTTTTTTTTTGGGTGAATTTTAGGATCACACATTTTACACCTCTAAAATATGTAGATATCAAGCTTCTCATAAATCATAACAATATGGACATGTTATTTCACACTTCGCAAACACTACTGATGTCCTTGTCCTAACATAAATTATTATTGTGACAAATGTTATGGTTAATGACCGTATTATATATTGTTTCACGCCGATAGGGATGGAGGAAGAGACGGTCTGGAAAGTTGACTCGGACTCCTTCCCGGTAGACTGCCAGCAACTAACACAATTATGTCGCTACGATTGGGCTCATTCAAGATAACAAAGGGTGTTGCCTAGCAGTGGCAATATTGAACATTCACTTTATAACCTGATTGTGTTGCTCCAAAAATTCAAAGGCGTTGTGGAAGGACTTCATGTTTGGACACAGAAGGATACTTTTTGTAGCTCGATTCCCGATGCTCTGTCCGACTGCTTTAGGGCACTCGCTAGAAGGATCACCAACATACTTCATTCATGTCTTCCATATTCACAAATGATAAACATATCAATTACCTGGAAGTTTAAGGCGTGAATCATTTTCGTACTGTTTATTTTTTCCATTTTACGATCTTCTTATCATAAAAAAAACTAAACTTTGTACGATTGTTTAGAAGAATTTGAAATCCAACTGGTTTGGAATCAACGCGTGTAAGGATGCCAATAAAAGAAAAATCAGTTGTGAAATCAAGAAATGAAATTACCATGTTATAATAATAACAATACAGTAAAAAATGAGTATTTGACAATCCTAAATTCAGTAAATTGGGAGTAGGAATTAACTTCAAGAAATGTAAAGTGTAAACCTTTTTGAGTAGGAATTAAATTCACTAAATATTTGACTTGTCATGGAAACATAGAAGGAAAGAATATACAGGAAAGAACGTCTTTAATTTTTTTTTAAATATTAAATAATTAAATTGTACAGATTAAATATATATATATATATATTTTTCGCTCAATTAAACATATCCTTTTCATCCTTTTTTGGCTTCCGTTATTTTATTTTTATTTTTTTGCAGTTCAGCAGCTTCCTTCTTTGCTCCTCTCCTCTCTCTCTCTCTCTCCCTCTCTTTCAGTCGCCTCTAATTCCTCGCCGATTTTATTCGATCCGTCGCATGCCGGCGCCGTCGGGTTAGTGCCCAAGAATCTCTCTCTCTCACACACAGATCTGTAGCGTCGCGTCGCTTTCAGGTTCGCCGTTTGCTGTTTGGCTTCCGCGAAAACATCACCAGCCAGACAATTTTTTTTTTTTGTCAAATAGAATAAAGAGAGAATCTCAGACGAACGGAGACGCCGAGCAGCAGTTTCTCGGCGTTCTATTCGCTTTGATTGGTAATTGTTTCCGGGACAATTGTCGATCATCTCAATTCGAAGTGCAGCCATGGCTTCGCCTCGCCTGCTTCGTCTTTTTGTTTGTGTATTTTTGCTTGCTGTTCTTGAATAGTAGAGTACGGCAAGTGCAGAAGTGACGCCATGGATGAACCCCTTTTCGTTTTCCCCTTTTCCTTATAGAATCCGTGTAGATCTCTCGGCGAGGAGATCCGGCTTGTTAGTTGGCGGATGACTGCTGAATTTTTTTTTGGGAGCAAATTGTAACTGTTGCTGTTTGTTGCTATCTGATTTCCCCCGTTTTTTCTACCCTTGCCTTTCGGTTTTCCGGTTCGCATGTGGATCAGCTTGGCTGAGTCTTTTTCTTTTCTTGCTTTTTGGCTCTGCTGTTTGTTAATTGCTTTTTCCGTGAGGGGAAATGGATTCGTGGAACCTGTTTGGTAAGAGTATTCAATGGATGTTTGGCAGTTTCCAGCATTGCATGATCGATCACTTTCCTTCCTTTCATCCTTTTGTCGGTCTATTTCTCTTGGTTTTAACTCGTGAAAGAGATCACATCTTCTTCACAGGATCTTGGAGAGGGAGGGGAAAAGAAGTTAACTTGTGTATAGAATTGGGAAAGAAAGGAAGTGTCGACTCATCAAAGCTAATGTTGATAGTTGACAGCTACTGTAAATTTTTATATCTTCCTTCGGCCGGTTTGTCTTTTCATGTTAGCTCATCATGTCGTTTTTCTTCCATGGGTTATAACTTCAAATTCTTATTTAGGAGTTGGTTGGTTGATAGGTTCTACAACTCATGGAAGTTGGAAAAATTCCCTTTCCCTGTTTCATTAAATATGGTAGATTCTCTTGTCATTGAGCTGTGGTAAACTGGCTGACACTGAGATAATGATGTTTGCAGGCAGAAGGGCAGAAGAGGGGGATACAAAAGAAAGTAAATTTGGGTGCCCCAGATGATTAGGACAAATGTTATTTGCAGTGGAAGGAGGAGGATTCTTCTCTTCTGCGGCTTCAGGGTATAGTAAGGGACTGACCCTACTTCTCTTGGGTCATCAGAAGAAAGAAGAGAGCAAACCCATGAGAGTAGCGCCCTGGAATCAGTACCAGTTGGTAGACCAAGGAGAACCAGACCCTGATCTCCAGCTGGCTTCCCTCAAGAATCGAGTTTCCCGCGGCTGCGCCGCTTCTTTGGTCTGCTTTGGTCGCGCTTCGGCAGGAGTTGATTCTTCTGCCCCTTCTTCGCATCTTAAAGTAGGTCCTGCCCAGCACCAGGATGCATTGCCAGTAGATGATATTAAAGAAGATACAACAATAGCTGAGATTGAAGATGATAAGAGTGCATCTAAAGCAGTTTCACTAAAGAGCAGCTTGAAGAAGTCGTCGTTAAATAACGTTTCTGTTCCTGTAGAGGATGCGGGTCAACATGCTGTGTTGAACGAGCAGGTTAACGATAGCCCTGGCCACAATGGTAGAAGAAAAGTGCAATGGACAGATGCTTGTGGTAGCGAGCTTGCCGAAATTAGGGAATTTGAGCCGAGGTATGCGACTTTATCATCTCTTGATGAATTATTGTTTATATTCTGTTAGGTGGTAGTACCCCATTTGATTTGGTTCAGAACTATGTTGCTTCCTGTCTTTTGGGTACTGATTTTCTGACTGCTGTGGACTCTGCTAAACAAACATGTTTACATCTAAGCTGAGAACTTTCTTCCTCACTTGGGGTTTTATGACCCCATAGATTCACTCCAGTTCTCAGAGTAGTGTTGTTTTTTTTATTTCTAAACATGTATTTCTCTCCAAAGCTTTTATGTGCCTCTATATTGTTTGTCCTAAGTGGTTTTTCATTTTACGAATCAGTTTGTGGAAATGAAATCCATTTTCTATAGTGTCGGTTATGATCTGAATGACATCTGGTTATACATGTTCCTGAAGATACTGCGGTTGTCTTTTGTTTCTTTCTATAAAAGAACTCCAATACTTGCTTTCACTGTTGTCTTATGTACTAAATGGAGCTTAGAAACTAGCTGGTTGACTGAGACAATTCTAATTTCGATTAGATTTAAACTTTAGTTCATCGTCTGTGTACTACTGATGGACCTTTGTGGTTACTCTGGCCACTCTTGTTTGACTTACCTTGTGCATGCTGTTACGTATGATTTGTATTTTCTCCACCGTATTCTCAATTGTTACCTTTGCCTGATATCCACACGTGCAAGAGGTCCATCAGTTATTCAGTCTTTTCTCTTTTCCTTTTCTCTTGACACAGCATGGTTTAAAAGTAGAGTTACTGTGAGGATAGATATTTCGATCAGGCAAAAGTTATGATGCCCTGTTGTTCTTCACAAGTTGAAGCTGAACCATTTAGTCTTCGGTTCTTGCTGCTCCATGAATGCTTAAAGACATCACTTAATTTGCCATTCCCAAAATCAATCTTTTCACTTAAATTGTTCATCTTTTGATGTACTGGCCCTGAATATTTTGTTAGATATGTATTCTTTCAATGATTTCTTTAGATTAGTAGTAATCCCATAAAAGATGAAAATTGCATTATGGAGTTGCATTTAGATTGGCATAGTTATGACTCGTGGCACATTGAAATGTTAACAAAACCGCCATAAACTAACTCTTGTTTTAAGGTTTGGGCCGTAAAGATGCTTAAATGGAACATGAACTCTTCTCTAATCTCTAGGTCCAATTGGTGTGTTGAGGATTGGAAACTAGAGTAAGCTTGTGTAATGTAATGTGTCATGAAGCACCACTTCTACTCTTTTAGGTTTTACTGAATGACGGGTAGCTAGTTTCCTATGTCGCAAGGCCTTGAAATGTAGTAGGTAGTGGTGAAGACTTTGTATGTGAGAGTTGGATTGACACAGAAGTCTATCACTATGCTGCTTAACATTTTCTAGGCCTCGTAGCAACAACATTCTTGAATCATTGTGTTTGCCTTATAGGGTGTCTGGAATTGCTGTTATATTTTGAGTAATTTTTATGCTTGATTGGTTGGCAATCTACGTTGATAGCCTTTTGAGTTTGTTAGCAATGAATCTTGCTGTACCTCCGTACTGAAATACTTTCCTGATGATTGACGAATTGCTGGCTGGCAGTGAACTGGGCTTGTCTGATGATGAATTCGATAACGGCCGGGAAAGAAGTTGTTCGTGCAATATTATGTGACACAGATTCAGAGGGGGCCTAAAATTTTCAGCTTGCTTTGGAGTTGAGAGAAGGGTGAAGCTTTTTTTGCTGAACGATGACAGGGGAGAGGCACCTTGTTTGTACATTTCCTGCTAACTGAGGTATCTCTGCTGTTGTTCTCGAAGAATGAAAGGGCTGCGAGAGCTGTTTAGATGGGGAATGAATGAATGCTTGGTAATGTGATTTGAAGTGGAGAAAAGAAGTTGGTCTCTTTTTTCGATTCGAGCCTCTCTTGGGAGGAAGTTGATCATTTTTCAATCGTTTTCTTTCCTTTTCTATTCATTTTTTTCTGTTGGGTTAGAGAAGGGGGAAAAAGGAGAAAGAAGAAGAAGAATGGGGTTTCAATTTTGTTGGTCTTCTTCCTTATTGTTAGTTGTTTTTGTGATGATATTTCAATTCGGTTGTTTCCTTTCTTCCCCCCAGATTCTTGGTGGTGTCAATTGTTTGTGTTTTGGTTCCTTATTCATCAGTGTTATGGAATAACATGTTCCAATTCTTTCGAATAGTTGGTCAATGCGGGATTTCTTCACGTTAAATTGAATTGGAGACGGTCCGGTACCCTCAATTACGAATTTGATTGCCATTCCTACACTACAATACAGGGCAACTTTAGAATTTCGCATTGATCCTGTCGGAATTCAGGATGATAACTTATTTCTCATGTATTTAGTACGACCGGGTCACAGAATTGCACTTCGAGTGAGAAGACCATGGCAAGATTCAAATTTGGAACCTCGAGACTGAAAACCAACGATAACATTGCTCGATCGAGCTTTTATCGAAAGCCTAATCGAACTGTTAACTAATGAAAGAAGTCAAATTGAGTAACCAACTATCGATTTACTATCTATCTATGAAAAACTAAAATAAAAGAGAGCCCTTTTGGTTTTAGACAAGTAGTGTGGATATATGAAATTCCAGAAACTTGGCGCCACATTATCCACACACATCATTTGTGCTTCCTGATAACGCCGGCCCCCAACTGCTCACACAACCAATCCCCAATTTCCGCCCTAAAGAAAGAAGGAAACTTTGCTCGGCATCAAACGGGGCAGCCATGTCAGTTTCGTCTCCATTCCCGTCGCCCTGCTCCGCCGCATCTCCCTCTACTTCGGCCGCCGCTTCCTCCTCAACTTCGGTCCGTCTCAGAATCTCCGCCACCACCGCCGCCGCCGCCGCCAGGCCTTATTCTTACTACCACGGGGTTTCGATTCGGAGCTCGCAAGCGGAAGGCCCGATTCGGAGACCCGTCGCGCCGTCGCTCAGGGAGCCGTCGCCGCCGTCGTCAGCTTCCACTCCGTTGAAGCCCGTCCCTCCTTCCCCTCCATCTTCTTCACCCCCGCCGCCGCCGCCGGTGGGTTCCGCCTCGCGATTGGGCGTCGCGGAGGGTAAGGGCGCGGTGACTTTGGAGTTCCAGAGGCAGAAGGCTAAGGAGCTTCAAGAGTATTTCAAGCAGAAGAAGCTCGAGGAAGCAAATCAGGGTCCGTTCTTCGGGTTCATTGGGAAAAATGAGATTTCTAATGGAAGGTAACCATAGCTAAACGAACTAAATCCTTTTTCTTTCTTGGGTTTGCTCCATGTAAGACTAGTTTCAATTTTGGTGCTTGAACTTCTTTGGTAGCGTAGCGATGGCTTTAGCTTGGGCTTACTTGGGGATTGCTAGAAATGTTGAGGTGAAATCGGAATTGGGGTTAGAATTGGCAAAGCTTTGAAGATGGTCAAGCCTAGGCTAAAGGCTAAGGCCATCAACTAGTTTGGAAGGAAATTTGAGCTGAAAAATCTTCCCTTTGGAAGAACTGAGTTCAGCCATTTCCATGGTTGTAAGTTCTTCATCTCATTTCTCCCAACTCACAAGGAAATTAGGAATAGGTTTTTTTTTATACCATGCTGTCATAGGAAGGGCTCAAATTTCTTTGTTACAAAAACACAATCCGGCTGCCTTTGTGAATGGCGATCCAACTTCATTTGCAGTTAGACAGCCACGATTGGATCGTGATGTTACATCGGAATGGAACCAGTTTCCTGCTGCTGTCATTGAACTGCTTTTGTTCTTGCGAGAACCTTTCCCCTTTCACTGAAACCTGCATTCATGGACTACTCCATTGAGCTGTAACCTCTGTGAATCATTCTACATTGCATGACGTGCGAAAATTTTTCTGTGGTGGTCACGAGCAGATGGGCGATGTTCGGTTTTGCTGTTGGGATGCTGACGGAGTATGCAACAGGGTCGGACTTCGTTGATCAGGTCAAGATCCTTCTCTCCAATTTCGGAATCCTAGACTTGGACTGAAAGAAAGCTCTCTCTCACACGAAATGGAGCCTTGAGTACATTTTGATTGTTATATAAGTTTTCTGTACCATATGTCGATGTGTATTTTTGCAACTTCTACTTCCCCATTGTTCATTGTTTGTTCATCATCCTGAGAACTCTGCTTACTTGCTCTTTTCAATTGAGCTGCATGCAAACGAAGCACAGATTGTCTGTTGCTTACAGTAAAACACATACAACAATGTAAACTCCTATAAGTCTTGCAAGCGGAAAAGGGCAAGTTTGTAGAATTGCCATGGCATACATTTCCCCTACCCACAGGCAATAGGAAAATTAGCAAAGCTTACTGCAAGCACAAGCACTGGCTTAGTTAGGAATTAAGGAACAACTGGGGATAAATCGACATTCTTAGTTTAGTTCTACAAATGCGAGTTTGAGACAAGAAGAGAGGAGTTTGAGGGTGTGAGTGGTGCCTGATTTGTTTTTTGTTAGATTTTCTAAGGTGTGGAAGAAATCAGTGGAGAGACATGGATGATTTTGGCGATCTACACTCCTGCTCCCAAGTTAGTAATGATATAGGAGATTATGTATGTAATTGCAGAAAGAGTTGTAGCGAGACGGTCTAAACTGGTTTGACAACCTTACCCGTAATTAGGGCTGTTAATGAGCCGAGTCGAGCTTTGCCATAGTTCAGGCTCGGCTCGTTAATATATTTCCAGGCTCGAGCTCGGCTCGTGTTCGTCACGAGCTTTAATATGCAAGCTCGAGCTCGGCTCGTTTACGAAAATGAAAGCTCGAGCTCGGCTCGTCAAGTAAACTTAACGAGCCCAAAATCTAGTTCGGCTCATAAAATGTTCATGATAGCTCAAAATTGACCTAGAACTGCGCACAAAATTACATTCAAACCTGTAGCAAAGTGAAACTCAATATTTATCCCAATTTCAATACATAAAATCCATGAGTTCTAATTCTTCTTTTATGTCAAACCATTAAATGAGCTTGTTCGCGAGCTTTTCGAGCTGAACATGGTATGGCTCGAGTTCGGCTCGTTTAGTTAACGAGCTTGTTCGCGAGCCGGCTCGATTAAAACGAATCGAGTGTCGAACGAGTTTTTCTTGAGTCGCACACCGAGCCGTTCATGAGCGGCTTGGTTCATTAACAACCCTACCCGTAATTGGAGATGAGTAGTCACCCATAAGGCAATGGAAATAGAGGGATTAAAATGAAAAAAACCAAGCCGGTTTGATATTTTACACTGGACTTGGATCATCATTTTCCGGGCAGTGTTAGCTTTCTTCTCGTTGCCAGTCACCGGCGTCTCCTTTTTCCTCCATATTCCAATTTCCGCCACCGTCATCCCATTTACCAGTGTCAGTGTGGCGTTGCTGGTGATGAAGCGCCGCCGCCGCCTCCTTTCGGTGTTCTACCTATCATGATTCGATCATTTTTCTCCCGCTCTCCAATATCGTATCGCCGTCGTTCAGTATCAATTTTTTTGATTCGTCTCGTCGACGAGCTTCCTGGAAAAAAGAGGCCATTCTGGTCCTCGTCGGCTGAATCGACAGCTTAGGGTTTTAACTGCCCCTGGAATTCCATTCCTAGAGCTGGTATTGCCGCCCCCTGATTCTGAGTATCTCAAGCGCCATCTCGAGGCGGAAACAAAGTTGCAGGAATTGGCAAGCTCGAGGGGCGATTCACCTGACGAGCTCTTCATAGGAGTTCGTCCTGAATGTGGTGACAGATTTGGTTAGCGATTAGAGTTCTCGGAAGTGGAGTGCGTTGAGAGCCTTCAATTGAGGTTTTGCTTGAAGGTTTCGGAGTTTTTGATCGAAAGCTGAAAATATGTCGAGCGGGCAAGTGACGAAGCGGGTGAAGTACAAGACCTCGGTCAAGGACGCTGGGACTCCTGGCCGTCTTTCACTGGTATGGTTGGAATCCTAGCTCAGTTGCTTCAAGCTTGGGTCTTTTGATTTTGAGCTACATTTGGGGTTTGATTGTTCACTGGAATTTAGCTGTATCTCTACGCAATGTAACTTCACGAGATTGATTTTCAAGAGATTTGGAAATTGATTGGTCGCCTCCATTCCGTTGTGTAAATGGACAGGTGAAAGAAAGGTTGTTGTTCAGGCCGAATAATCCAAACTCAGCATCTAAGCTCGACATGCAGTTCAAATACATTACAAGTATAAATCTTTTGTTCTTTGCCTTCCTTCATTCTATTGCTTGTGGAGCACAAATCAACCTTACTCATGCTGCTTTTCTCCTTCCTTTTGTTTCCCTCCATTGCTTGGAACGCGTAGATCACAGGTACACCAAGGAGGGGTCAAATAAAGCACCAATGCTCAATCTCACCTCAAATCAGGCATGTTCTCTGTTTGCATATGTGTGAAATTCTGAAGTGCTTTTTTTTGTCATTGGTAGCTTGACCTTATATCCGTGTTTGCTTTAAACTACTTGGTGCTTTTCAGGGTGTGAGTTATATATTCGAGTTTGAAAGATATGAAGATCTCCATATCTGCAGGGATTTCGTGGGTAATTCGCAAGTTCTATCTGATTCTTAGATAAAATTCCATGGTCTTCCAGAAATTTGTAGCCGGTGAAGGATTCCATGTTACTAAGATCAACGCCATGGCTTATGATATAATCTTACTATTTGATTGGAGAAAGCTTTGGTCGTGAAATAGGAAACTGTTGCTGTGATCAGATCACAAGAAACCATAATGCCATGTAACTGGCATGCTGTACTAACTCGATGAAGTTTGGGAATAAAAGTTTGGTATAACAATATTTAGCACACATGTGATGACTATGTGCTTTTGCTCTTATTGTGAATTTGCCTTTGCCATCACCCAACATAAAAGGGAACAAAGAAGTAAACAACAATATGTGAACCTGTTTTCAATGCTCCTTGCACCTTGACTGGCATTGTTTTCTACGTGTAAAATATGTGTGGCTATGGTTCAGTCTTTTAGTTAATTTTACCGCTTATTTGATGTTTTTATGCATTGTGACAGGCAGAGCCCTTGCACCACCAGTAGAAGCTCCAAATCTTGGAGCCAGTTCGCAGGTTCCTTCAGAACAACCCAGCAGAGATGATTTGCTATTCCGTGCAAGGCTTCTGCAAGACAGTAGGTGAAGCCAATTTCTTAGTTATTTGTAAATTGGGTAATTTGAAAATCAGATCAGCTAGCTGTTGATGACTATATGTCTTTTTTGTTTTACAGCATTGCAGCATCTTGTATCTAACATGTTTTAGATTAATTATAGATTCACCTAAACTTTAGTTGTACTTTGCTTGTAGATATTGTCAATGGAATTAATTGCTGAAAAATAAAACTCACATTCCCGTGTTCTCGTATTACTAAAAGGACCATTCTTGAGATGAATATCAGAAGCATGATATGTTAGGTAGGCTTGTTTGCTGCCCTATATACTATGAAAGTCATCTCCATAAGCATTTTGTGGAAATGATTAGCAGTTTGTACAGGGACCTAGATTATTTCTTCCTTGATCATTTCCTCCTAGTACTAGGTTGCACTATTATTGTTAATTGTTGCACTTTTTTCGCCAAATCCTGAGAAGATTCCTTCCTTTTCGCTATGGCTGATGCTCTACCTAACATCTTGAACTTTGTGCTGCACAGTGAACTGCAGAAGCTTCATCAACAGTTTGTGGGTGGTGGTGTGCTGACCGAAGCAGAATTCTGGGCTACAAGGAAGGTTAGAATGGTTAACTTGAGTACTCCTATTTTGGATGCTTTGGTTGCCTAGTTTCATTCAGCATTTGAAGTTCTCAGATTTTCTCATATCAGAGCATTGTTGGTAGGAACGTAGTCTATGTCGGTTGGTGTAACTGTAATTTAGACACTGTTATTGTATTGTAGAAATTGCTGGAGAAGGACTCCAACACAAAGTCAAAACAACGAGGTGGTCTTAAGAGTTCCGTGCTGGGAGAGTCAAAGCCTTTGATCGACGGTCGGGTACAAATGTCCTTCCAGACTTGCTCGCTTATCCGTTGCTGCTTTGTGCTTGTTTCTCGATTCATTTTTGTCTTTGTTGAGTTTTACTCAATCAAATGTGGTTCTGTTGTGGGCTTCATGCTGAAACGTTTTTATTGCATCCTTTATCCAGACCAACAGAGTTACATTTAACTTGACCCCAGAGATAGTTCGTGAGGTATGTTACTTATATGGCTTCTCCCTGCTTCACTATTTCTGTTACAATATTTTACAGTACAAGTTAAATTAAGTTATCATCTGTAAATTTTTGGTCCCCACACCATCCTCTTTGCAGACTTTGTTCCTCTTGCATCTAAAGTTAATTTCCTTCTATACAAGAAACTAAAAAACATCGATATTACTCGTTTGTATTTTTGCTTCGGACACATGTATTGCATTTGCTATGTGAATGTAATGTCCTCTGTTTCCCCATAGGATTTGAGAATGCTTGTGTGTTCGCTCACATCTGAGTTTCAATGGCCGTTTGATCTGTAATATTGTAGTTGTGGTTGAATTGTTCTGTGCATTCATCTCTATTCTCTCTATTGAAAAGTTTACCTTCAGATTTTTTCAGAGAAACCTGCAGTTCACCGGGCTTACTTGAATTTTGTTCCCAGTAAGGTAATAACAACTTCTGGAAACTTCTACTATTAAGTTTATATTAGTACGTGAACTGTGGGCTCCATATCTGTATGAAAAAAATGCTGCCTCACCAGATGTCTCCAATCTCGTAGTAATTGATTCATTTCTCTGCTTGAGTCCGGAATTCTTCCCTTTATTTTGTCTGACTTACTTTTTGTGGCTGAAGGTGACAGAGAAGGATTTCTGGACCAAATATTTTAGAGCAGAGTACCTCCAGCGCTCAAAGAACATTGCAGCTGCCATAGCGGAGGCTGCTGAAGATGAGGAGCTTGCCATTTTCTTAAAGCCTGATGACATATTGGCCAATGAAACTCGCAGGAAGGTTAGTTCATAGATGCACTCCTTGCTCCACATTCATCTTGAGAAACAACATCTAAGTTTGACATATCACAAACGTAAAAAATTTCTTGTACCAGATCAGACGTGTTGATCCAACTCTAGACATGGAAGCTGACCAAGGTGATGATTATTCACATCTTCCTGTAAGTTGAATGTTCTGCCCTTTATTTTATACAAATTTTGATTTTGGCCCTTGTGTGGTGACTAGAAGATAAAATGAGTTGATTAGACGATAGTCAATCAATTACTTTGGGCACTCATCCCAAGGCCAGATTCAAGCCAACTGGATTTTATCAACATGAGTCTGTTTGTTGGCCACTGATTGTGTTTTTCAAATTGTTTGCCAATGGATATGCTGTTATGAAGGTGAATTTGCTTTGATGCCAAGTTGGAGTTTATGACAATTGTTGACTATTGTCTTAACTAATGGAAAAAATAAATAAAATTGGTAGAAAGGAGTAGGGGAATAAGGTGTTTGCGACAATGGGGTATGTTATATGTTGGAGTGCCGGAGTATAAAATATCTTCTGAGATATCAATTCAGTAATAATATTGAAGTGGGAAATGTAGAATACGACTTAAAAGTTTGCCAACTATTAGTGGATGATTTTGATCCCTTGGTTGAATTCTGCACATCTGCATATAACTTGAGTGAAATCCGTGCTTGGTAATATCATACGCAGAATGAAGCTTGAGGAATTGATTCTTCATTGTTTTGCTAAAGGCATATGCACCGTATAGGCATCACTTAGATAGTACATGATGAAGTTTCCAATAAAGATGCACAGCTACTGCAATGGCTTTGTTTGATTTCTTTTACTTGTCTCTGCGTGTCTGTTAGATCATTTGTATCGATGCTGTTTCATTTATTTATTCGGATACTATTTCATTTTGGAAAACACAGGATCACGGGATTCTTCGTGATGGTAGCAAGGAAGTACCCGAACCAGGGAATGAACTGTACCGAAGGACTTTGCTGCAGGATCTTAACAGGCATGCAGCTGTTGTTCTTCAGGGAACTCCAATAGGTAAGTAGTATTTAAGAAGTTTCTTGTCTTTCTCAGTTTACAGCTTAGACTTCTTTTGTGTGTTCATGGACATTTGGCTTTGAGTTTCCTAACCATTACATCATGCAGATGAAGAGCAGCTGAAAGACACACAAACTGTAGCAGAGGCACTTGAACGGTCAAAACAAGGTTGATGTCATAATTAGTTTTGCTTCGGTTTTCTTTTGATTTTCTTTCCTCGTTATATTTAGGGGGTTCCGATAATTGTTTGTTTGCTAGAGCGTAGCACTGCTAGCAAAGATGACGACTCAATGGCGGATCAAGAGAGATTAAAAGGTATATCCCAGGCGATGACAATTGACGATCTTCGAGGGTCAAATGATCACCACCTCGCACCGCTTTGGATTAAGGTTGTTTTTGAACACTTTCCATTTATGTGCTGCCGTTTTATTTTTTTTTAACTATTCCATTCAGTTGGAGTGAAGGCTTTGCTATGACAAACCAGGACCCGAGAGATTATTTCGATTCACAACAAGCTAGCTCATTCAGAACTTCCATGGAAGCAACAAAGGGAAGCATGAGCAGCCAGGAAGCATATGGTTTGTTGAGGGAATCCATATCTCAAATTAAATCTATGGGATTGAATCATCCCATAGTTGCACCAGAAGTAGCCCAGAAGGTAATTAATTGTCTCCATGAAAATCGGGGAAGTGGTAATAATTGTTCCAGCCAGTCTCTGAATCTAGATACAAACATTATTGTGTAGGTTCTCTCTGTCTTGACCCATAACATCTCAAGCACAAAGTATAATCTCGGGAAGAAACCTGGAGAAAGTCTGTTGGACAGTCTACCAACCTCAGTTAGAGACGAGCTTCTACATGTAAGTGCTATGAAGTTTTGAACAAACAGCTGCTAGTTCCATGAGAGCCTAACTCTTCTGTTCTTTGTGAGAATATCGGTATCTGATGATATTTCTTAAATCTTGTTTCCAGCATCATATTTCAATTGAAGAGTTGATGAAGCATTTTTGGTCTTCATATCCAATCACGACCAAGTATCTCAATACCAAGGTACTCTCTCTTGAATGAAGTTGGCACTGCCTTTTCGATTTGGAAATCTAATGTCTGGTTAAGAAGTTTTCTTTCTCTACCAAAGTGAGCTGAAAATGGAAATATCGACCAGTGGGTTATTGAAGCAGATTCTTTTCACTATGGTTATCATTGCCTGTTTCTCGATGCAATCTATTGCGTACGTTTTTCCTCCTTCCCTTACCATTAATATAATGAATGATATTTGCAGGTAATCAAACTAAAGGATGAAATGTCGAAAATGGATTCTCAACTACAGGTACATTGCACAGCATAAACAGAGTACTAATTCTGAATTCTCAATAGGTTAAGGCCTTAATATTTGTGTATCTTGAAAATGGCTGGAAAATGTGATTGCTCTGCCACTCTTCACTAAATTTCAGAAGTTGAAGGAAACTGTACAGCCGGACATCCGACATCAAATTACACTTCTCATTCGTCCTATGCAGCAGGTTGGCCCTTACTCCTTTTAACTGCCTCCAAGTATTGTAAGGCCGCCTCTCTTTACCGAGCCCTGTCATTCCGTTTTCCGTTCGTTTGGTGCAGGCGCTAGAGGCAGCAATGCAGCACTACGACGCAGAGCAGCAGAAGCGAGCGTCGAAAGCTCGGGAAAAACCAAATGGATACTCTTAAAGAGAGAGGAGAAAACTTCTATCAAATTACGTCGGTTGTAGTCGAAATTTTGTCCGAGATGAGTGAAAGTTTCATTATAGGTGAAATGAGCTTATGTTGCAATTCTTTGTACAAAAAGCTTTTAAATGAGCAGTTCTGTTAAATCTCCCAAGGATAGTATGCATTTCAGTTAGCTTGTTGTGGAAGCTCGAAATGCCGTGGTACTCAAGTTACCCGATCCGGCCCGTCAACCAACCGGTCAACGGTCAGCTGTCGAATAGAATACTAAGAAATAAGAATAGAACCATTCAGTTAAAGCTTGTAGAGAAAGCTTGAAAATGGCGGAGAGCTATATTAATAAAGTTCAACCAAGATCCAAATCCTAATGCTCCATCCCTGAAAATGGGTAAGCCCGTAACCCGATCCATCGCTCTCTCCCTCAACAACCCGTCCTCTGCTTCCCAAGCCGCCGGCGACGCCGCTCAGCTCCGCCCTTCTCCGGGCAAACTCCCATTCCGACCCCGAAAGATCCGAAAGATAATCACCACCAAGGCCGCCGCCGCCGCCAAAACAACAGCCTCATACTCACCTCCGCTCCCCGCCGTCGCCAAACCGTTATCCACCGAATGCGAAATCGCCGCCGCGCTCAACCACCTCCGCAAATCCGATCCTCTCCTCGAATCCCTAATCGACCGGCACACCCCGCCCAAATTCGACACCAGCAAACCCCCGTTCACCTCCCTAGCCAGAAGCATCATCTTCCAACAGCTCGCCACAAACGCCGCGCAGTCGATCTACGCGCGCTTCCTCGCACTCTGCGGCGGCGGCGGAGAGATTCTGCCGGACGCCGTGCTGGCGCTGACCGCATCGCAGCTGCGGGAAGTCGGGGTATCGGGCCGAAAAGCGGGCTACCTCCACGACCTAGCGGGGAAATTCAGAGATGGGTCGCTGTCGGATTCGGCGATCCTGGAGATGAGCGAGGAAGCGCTGCTGGAGAGGCTGACGGCGGTGAAGGGAATCGGCGTCTGGTCGGTTCACATGTTTATGATTTTCTCGATGCACAAGCCGGATGTGCTGCCGGTGGGGGATTTGGGCGTGAGGAAAGGCGTGCAAAACTTGTACGGGCTGAAAGGTTTGCCGGAGGCGGCGGAGATGGAGATGGTCTGTGAGAAGTGGCGGCCGTATCGGTCCGTCGGAGCTTGGTACATGTGGAGGCTCGTGGAGGCCAATGCCGCTGCTGTGAAAGGTGCTAATAAGAAGGTCAAGAAGGTCACTGTTGTTGCTGCTCTTGAGTAAGTTCGTCAGCAATTTTACTGTTGCTGTTGTTTGTTGTACTGAATAATTGAACAGAGCATTTTTGATGTTTTTGTGATTTGGAACTCGAATCGAATTCGAAGATCGAGCAACTGCGTGTAATCGAACGCCTTACCTGAGTTTGAGCTTGTGAAACCCGAACGAATCGAAATCGTTCGAGTAAGTATGTATATGTTCAATCGATCTAAGCCGGTTTTCCAGCAATTGATGTAAGCTAGTTTACCTGCTTATTTACATTGCTCTCCTGCAACCCAAAAAGAAAAAAAAACTGCTTTCTTTCTCCCTGACATCATTTGAAGAAGATGGCATAAACGAGGGTGACAAGAAACAAGACGCCTAGTACTCTTCACTGCAAATCTCCAAACGATGAGCCGCACCCCAAAGCTCCAGCCTGAGTTCAACCATAATGACTCTCTCGGTTAGGTCGAGAAGCCGAGCGACGAGGATCAAGTGCTGCTGCCTTGCTACCGCTCCTGTATCGTTCCCTGGCGTTTCGTCGAAGTCGTCATCCATGGGCAAATCGTCTTCCCAGTCTCGAAGCTGACACATTCTTGGAACAAACACCTGCCGCGAAAAATTGATCAAGTGAGAAGTCGCCCAAAGCCAAACCAGAAATCTCTGCCCAAGTCCAGTAATCTTACACAGCATTCAAGTGGACGATAGCTGTTGTAGTATAGTAACGAATTCTTTACAGGAGGTAAACCACCGATCAAACTGAGCCAGAGAAGAAAAGGCAGTTTTGCAGCAGTAGAATGAACTCAAGACACAGGCCGCCGCACCAAGCAAACATTAACCAGGAAAAAAGTTTCCAATCAAAACTGGAAATCTGAGCTTAAATCTTCACACAACGCTTACAACCTTGCAAACTGAGCCAGCGAAGAAAAAAAGCAGTATTGCAGCAGTAGAATGAACTAAAGAACAGTGGCTGCTGCACTAAGACTAACTCCAACCCATAAAGGGGAATTTAGCTCCCCAAATGGCCAAATATGGCTTTTTAGCTCCCCAAACCCACTTTTCACTCCAACCCTATAAAAAGCTAAATTTAGCTTCCCATTTCCCTTTTTCAATTTATTTCAATAAACCATACTTATTTGACCTCTAATTTTTATATTTCACTTTAATTTTTTCATAGCTCGTTATTAGTTTTGAATACAAATTTTTCGATGTAATTTTTTTTAAATTCCGAGATAATTTTTTTTTTCAAAAATTAGCCGTTAAAATATTACCGTTAAAACTTCGGGACCACTCCAAATATGACCGTTTTTTGTATCCGTTACTTTACGACCGTTTTTTTGTCATTTTTTGCACCAAATGTCTTTATAAATGACAGTTCTTCATTTTCATCAACTCAACTAAAACTTCTTCCCATTTCTAAAACAAACACATTCATCATGAGTATCTCAGATAGCTCATCGTCTGGAGAAGAAGAAAACGAAGAGTACGAAAGGTTTCACCACCTACGTTTGAGTTTGATAGGTCGGAGGCTGGCTGAAGGTGCATCAAGTCGCCGTCAAACTACAAGCCGACGTTACATTGATCGTGAGAGGGTCGAATGTAATCGACATCTTATGAGGGATTACTTCGATCCAAATCCAGTATACAATGCTCGCATATTCAGAAGGCGCTATCGGATGCAGCCAAGATTATTCCATCGCATTATGGGCGACATTGTGAGGTTTGACCCCTCATTTGCTCTAAGGCGTGATAGCTTTGGTCAATTGTCACTATCTCCAGAGCAGAAGCTTACTGGTGCGATGCGCATGCTAGCATATGGTTCTCCAGCTGATCAACTTGATGAGTATGTTCGTATGGGTGAGAGCACCTTGATGGAGGTTTTCAGAAAGTTTTGCAACAACATTATCAACATGTACGGGGCCACATACCTTCGCGCACCTACTCCTGCTGATTTAAGGATCTTACTCCGTAAAGCCTCAAGCCGTGGCTTTCCTGGAATGATTGGATCAATTGACTGCATGCATTGGGAATGGAGGAATTGTCCAAGTGGTTGGGCAGGACAATACACCGGCCACATGCATAGGCCAACAATCATTCTGGAGGCGGTGGCCTCCTACAACACATGGATATGGCATGCTTTCTTTGGGACACCTGGATCGAACAACGATATAAATGTTCTGGGGATGTCTCCAGTGTTTGATCGTATCGTCAATGGAAGCGCTCCACATGTACGGTTTGAGGTAAATGGTCATGCTTATGATCAATGTTATTATTTGGCTGACGGTATTTATCCCTCATGGTCGACTTTAGTGAAGACCTTCAGCAATCCAAGGTCAAACAAAGAGGCTTTGTTTGCTCAACATCAAGAAGCACACCGCAAAGATGTAGAGCGGGCATTTGGAATCCTCCAAACAAGATGGGCAATTGTTCGTGGCCCTGCAAGAGCTTGGGATGTTGTCACGCTTAACAATATAATGCTGACGTGCATTATATTACACAACATGATAATCGAGGATGAGCAGGTTGATTCTGATGACGAGATGGATGATGACCTTGATTATGAGGTCCATGCACAACCTGAACCAATCAACCGACACCAATCAACTCTAATTGATTACTTGGCTAGAAATAACAGGCTTCGCTCATCTACAACACATCATGCGCTTAGAAATGACTTGGTTGAGCATCTTTGGAATTTGCACGGCAATATCTAGCATTGTTTTACTTCGTGTTGCTTGGTTGTTTGTATTTCAAGTTTCAGTGTGTGATTGTATTTCATGTTGCTTGGTTTTTTGTATTTCAAGTTTTAGTGTGTGATTGTATTTCATGTTGCTTGGTTGTTTGTATTTCAAACTTTCAATAACACTTGTTTTTATTACACATGGAATTGCTCAAAGTTCAAAGAGTACACATGACACATGAAAATAACAAAGCTGAAAGAGAACACACAACACATTAAAGATGTAAAGACAATAGAGTACAAATAGGATCTTCTTCTAATTAATAATCCATGACAGGAAAGTAATCGCCATCTCCTCCATCACTTTCATCGCCATCTCCTCCACCACTTGCATCGCCATCTCCATCTCCGCCATCACTTGGATAAGAGTTGGGATCATCTTGATCGTACCCATAAATGTCATTTTGTTTACGCCTCCAAAATCTCTTCTTTCTTGGTGTCATCTTTGACAAATCCTTCTCCAGAATAGCTACATTTTGTTGAAGTATTGCAGCTTCCCTCTCTTTCTTCTCCACAGCCCACTTTTCCGCTTCACGCTCCCTCACTTGCCTCTTGTATGCCCATTCCTCTTTCTCCTGCTCTAGTCTCCTCTCTTGAACATTCATTTTTCTGTTTTCGTACTCCATCCTCGACTTTTGCCTCTCTCTCATATCATTACCAAACTCTAGCAGTTGAGTAGTGTATATGTCTGACGATTCAGCAACTACCTTACCTTTCTTCTTTGCTGCCTTTTGTTTGTCGCGTCCTTCAGGGCGAGTCAACACGAAAGGCGTAGCTCCTTCATCTGGTAAGTCATCAAGGCCTTCCACGGGAGATGATTGAGAACCAAAACCTGTGGGAGAACTTTGGGAACCTTGACCCATAGGTGGAATGGGACTAACAAGCAGGTCAGGATTGGAGTACCACTTTGGACAATTTCGGAGAATGTCGAAACAATGCTCAAAATCAAAAGCCTTGTTCCCATTCTCTTGCTTATATATTTTTCTTGCCTTCTTTTCCTAATAAAATATGTAATACATGGGTTAGAGAAGTTTTTATTGACACATAAAAAATAAGAAAATACACAAGTTGAGGGTCCAAAAGAATACCACATCAAACTGGTTCGTGCCACTCGATTGATGCCTTTGTGCTCTTTCCAAAACTCCCTTCCAAGCATTGCAGTGATAGCAAATAATCCTCATTCGAGATTCCATTGCAATAGCAGTACGAATTGTAGTAGGATCCCATTTTTGATGTTCTGCCGCCACTCTTTCCCACAACCTTGTAGACTTCTGGTTGGTGCCAACCGCTCCATCTTCTGATATCGACACCCAAGCTCTGCACAAGATTTCATCTTCATTCGAATGCCAATTAGGTCCTCTCTTGCCTGTCATATTTCTATTTTGAGAGACGATTTGAGAGAATGCGATTTATGCTCTGAGAATGAGTGAAGAGAAATCTATGAAGAGTGCTGTAATATATAAGAAAAAATATGGCCGTTAAAATATGACCGTTTTTTATGGCCGTTAAAATATGACCGTTTTTTCGTCACTACATCAATTATTTCAAATTTATATTTCAAATTGAATCACAAACAACCAATGAGAATAGAGGGAAAAAAAATCCAAAACAAATTGGCAAAACAAATTCCCAACCAACAAAAATTAAAAGAAAAAAAAAAAAAGGCAGCACGTCAGCGCGTCCGGCGCCCTCCTCCGACAGCTGACATGCTGGCCACTTTATTGGCAGCCAAATTTGACTCCCACCCCAAAACCCAGCCAAATTTCACTCCCAAAAACCCAATACCCATTTATTGCTTCCCATTTTTTTGTGGGTTGGAGGGAGGAAAAAAGCAAATATGGCTTTATAGCATTTTGAGTGGCTGGGTTGGAGCTAGTCTAAGCAGGGAAAAAGCTCTCATCCAAAATCAAAGCTGGAAATCTCAGTTTAAAGCTTTGACTGAATCGAAAACTTCCCCAAGGTGAAAACCCAGCAACGATAGCTAGCCGGCTGAATGGAATGCCGCAAAAAATCCATAACCAAAAACCTTTCCCCAGAATCCCAAATCGCTCACTTCACAACAATGCTCTCCACTTAGGGAGCCAAATGGCGTGGCAAGAAAACGCATTAGAGGAAGACAAAGGAAGTAAAGACTCGTGGATGGGCGTACCTTTAGTTACGAGATGGAGAGGAAATGGGAGCAGCTGCTGTCAGCCGGAGAGCCGAATCGCCGGCTTCCAACCGAATTCAGACGAGACAAAAAAAACAGAGAGCTGCAGCTTTACCTTTCGTTTCCGGTTTTTATATTATCTTTCATCCTCTGATGTCTTCCGCCCCAAGGAATGCAGTGTGGAAAACAAACAAACAAACAAACAAAAAAGGGGGGAAAAGAAATCGCAGGCGAAATTGGGCCAATTACAAAAATGGTGATCGATATGTATTTCGTCAAATCTGAAGCACGATTTTCTTTACACATTTCTCTTCTCTGCACCGAACCCTAATCCCAAAAACTCCCCACAAAAACAAAAGCTGTTTTCTTTCTTCCTTCCTTCCTGCCTAGCTCCTTCATCTGAAGAGGACGTAGATGAGATTTCCCAACAACAACGCAAGTAACACCGTCGTGGCCGTCCTCAACATCAGAATCCTAAACGCCTGCCTGCATAGAAGTTCTTCTATAGGTCCAATCCGAGCTCTCAGCCGATTAACTCCACCGCATCTCAAGTAGCCGCGCCTACTGTTGCCGTGTTGCGTAACATAGACGCACGTTGCCGCAATTCTTCATCGTCTTCTTCTTCTTCCCGCTGTGGAAGTTGTTCACTCATTTTGTGCAAAAGGGGGGGAAAAGCCCTGCAAGATGTAGAAGAAGAGTTCCGTTCACAGTGTGACCAGAAACAAATTGAAACCCTAGTAATGGAGAATCGAAATGTCGAAGAAATTAGCGGAGGGGAATCGTGATTCCCTTGTTAAGATTTGAGTTCAAATCTCTCACTTAAAATACTAGAAAATTTGAATATACGAATTACACAATTTTGTTTTGATTGTGGTAAGTAGGGCTGGGCATGCGGGCGGATCATCCGCGGGTTTGGGCCGACCCACCCGCATTTGACCCGAATTTCGTTAAGTGGGTGGGTTTGTGGGTGGGTGACGGGTTGCGCTGGGAGCCATCCGCCGGGTGGTGGGTGGGTTGTGGGTGAGTGTGCGGGTGACCCACTCAACCCAACAGCAAAAAGATCAAGTCGTTGGCGCTAGAGAGAGGAGAGTGGAGACGTTAGATATAAACTCGGACTGCTCCTGGAGTTTGAACCTCAAAGTCAACCTTCCAAATAGAGATCCCCTCTTCTTCCCTTTACTTTTTCCTCTAATTCTTGTGCCTAGATCACCGCTCTTTCCTTTGTGGAATTATTTTCCTTAATTCTTTGCACCTAATAATCGTCTCAATCTGTAGAAAACTCTTTCATAATAGAATTTCTATCCAATTTAAAATCTAATTCGGCATTTTTCGCCCTATTTCAACTACTTGTTTCCCTCGATGATTATCTTCACCTATTATCATGTCAAGTTGTCTCCTTTATATTATATACATTGCGATGTGGGTGAACCCACAAACCCACCCGCATCATCCACCATCCGCCCGACCCAACCCGAGACTAAATGTGGGTGGGTGGTGGGTTAAAAATTATCAATCCGTTTAAACGCGGATGGGTGCATTTTATGGTCAAAATCCACCCGACCCACCCCTAGTGGTAAGGGTGATTTATAGAATGTTAAATTCCTGATTTAGCTACTAAAATGCACTGGTGTACTCATCAGTTTATTTCCCTGACAGAATTTTCAATAAGACTAAAAAAGGTGCTAACATTAAAAAATGTTAGCACCATGTTAACGTAATTATTAGGGGTATTATGATAACTACTGCATGTAGTAGTTACCTACCCACACCTTCCTCCCTCTCATTTTTTTCCGGCTCTCGCATCTAGGGGTGGGAAACGGTGCGGTTGCGGTTAACTGCACCGCAATTTGCGGTTAACTGCAACCGCAAAACACCCATATTGGCCAACCGCGACCGCGACCGCAACGGTTAGCGGTTAACCAAAAACCGCAGAACGCGGTTAGCAGTGAACCGCGGTTTATGGTTGTGAAAACCGCAACAACCGAAACACCATATGAAACCGCAGTTAGCACTCTAATCGAAAATTAACCGCGAACTAACTGCAAAAAAATCATGGAAAAAAAACACAGCAGCTACTGTTTTGTCTATTTTCACTTCCATCAAGCCCCTGCATCTGTCTGCATATCCAAATAACACAATCCACAAGCACAAATGCACAATGCCACAATCCCAAGTTTGAACTTCATAGGAAATTAACCAACATACCAAATAAACATAGACATAGCTAGAAACGAAACGAAACGAATTAACGAAGGGTTTTGATTTTTGTTTCTTCAAAGTTCAAATCATAATTCACTCAAAACGAGTAAACGACGGCGTCGGCAGGGAGAAGTGGGGAGGGTCGGGTCGGGTTTGGGGCTTTGGGCTGCTGCCTGCTGGCTGGGCTGGGGGTGAATTATGGGCTGGGTCTGGTTTCGCGGTTAGCTTTGCGGTTATATGGATTTGCGGTTTCGGTTGCGGTTAAACCGCAAACCGCAAAACAGGTCATATCTCCAACCGCGACCGCAAAATAGGCCAAATATGCGGTTTGCGGTTAACCAATAACCGCGCGGTTTCGGTGCGGTTGTCGGTTTAACCGCAAACCGCCAACCGTTTTCCCAGCCCTACTCGCATCCCATCTCCTACCCTCTCCCTCATACATCTCGTTTTACTCATCGTTATAATATTTTTAATTAGTTGACATAATACATAATATTTTTGGTTTGCTTCATGAGGTTTATGGTATGGTCTCTCTTCTTTCATGTCAGTTTCATGCAAGGAATGCAATTTGAACCCTGCCGGCCTTATATTACCCGACTTGATCCATGCTGAGGTGGATATTACCTGCCCTGTACTAGTGTATCTGTGGCGAGGCGCGAAATAAATGAGCTATGTCACATGTGCTTCCCAATAATTTTCAATAATCACAATCACGCCCCTCCTTTTTATAAAATTCACACGAATTTTGTCAACATCTTAACATAAAAAAATATAAAAAAAACATATTTTCATTAACTAGAGCTAGTATTAAGTGTTAACACCATATCAACAAATTGGGTGTCAGCATTATATATTATGTGCATTATTATTAATAGCAGGATTACAAGTCTAGCTTTTTTTTTTTTTTACATCAACAAATCTAACTTACTAAAAATGTAGAAATGTAAAAAATTAAAAAAATAGCATAATCGCTTATCTAACTTCCTTACTTGTAACAACTTGGGGTGAAGTGCTTCCTCGCCTTCTCAACAATTTTTAAAAATACGCGGGGGATTTTTGTTTCCCTCCATCGGATCTACCAAAGCAGAGCCGGGGTTTCTTTCCTTCCTTCCTTCCACCTCTCTTCGCTTTCCCTCTCCTCCAAAAACCAGAATGCGAAAGAACCCAAATCACTACCAGACAAAGCCGGCCATGTCCGGCATCTCCAATGCCTCCCTTCGCCAACTCTCCCATTTCTTCCCCCCTTAATTTCCCAACCCTTCCTCAAAACGTATCTTTCTTCATCCTTCCCCTTCCTCCCTCCCACCACCATGTGTCGCCTCCTCCTTCTCCGACGACCACCACTCTGCCGCCTCTCCCGTTCCTCCCCAAAACCCACTACTACTACTTCTTCTTCTTCTTTCACTACTTTCTAACTTCCCCTCCCTCTCAATTCATCGATTCCTCCTCTCCTTCAAGAGACGCCATCCAAAATTCGAAGAAATCCCCAAAAAAACCCTAGAAACATGGGCGCCGCTCAGGGGAAGCAGCACAGCTCAATTTCGCCGAACAAAGGGCAGGGGAAGGTGAAATTGGTTAATGGGTTCCCTCCCGCGAGGCGGAAAATTGATGGGCAGCATCGAAGATCGATGGGTCCTCATCATCGGGGATCGGGTCGGAGGTACGGCGACAAGGGCGACCCGAAACCGCCTCTCCGGACGTACACCGGTGGGTTCGCTGCCGGCGGAGATGGTGGAGGGAGTTATGGTGAGAAGGAAGAGAGAGATGGAAGGGATAGAAAAATGAAGAGTGAAGGCGGCGGTGGGAGTGGTGGGAGCGAAGGCGGCGGCGGTGGTGGAAGAATGGATCCGATTAGGGGAATGGATCCGTTTGGTGTGGAGGAGACCGTCGATGGATGGCCGAAGTGGCTCGCTGATAACGTTCCTAAAGAGGTTTTAGCTGGCGTGGTTAGGAAGAGCGCTGAGGATTATGTTAAGCTTGATAAGGTCAGTTTATTCATAATGAAGTTTATTTATGTTCTGGCATTGATTTCTTAATGAATGTTGCTAGATTTTGGTATACAGGTGGGATCAGGAACCTACAGCAATGTGTACAAGGCACGAGATAGAGAGAGTGGGAAGATTGTGGCTCTAAAGAAGGTGAAATTGGACACATCCGAGCCGGAGAGTGTGAAATTCATGGCCAGGGAGATCATGATACTACAGAAGCTGGATCATCCAAATATTGTCAAGCTGGAAGGGATCGCCACTTCCAGGCTTCAGTACAGTCTTTACCTAGTCTTCGATTTCATGCAGACCGATCTCCAAACGGTCATTTCTCGGTACGAGGGGAAACTCACTGAACCACAGGTGGGTAGAGTAAAGAGAACAAACTTTAACCTAGAGGTCCAGCTGTGGGATTGTTGGCTGAAGCTTCGAATTGAACTTTTTTTTTGGTGTGTTTGTGGAAATGCCCAGGTGAAGTCGTATATGCAGCAGCTGCTATCAGGGTTGCAGCATTGCCATGATAAGGGGATTTTGCACAGGGATATTAAAGGAGCAAACTTGTTGATTGACAAATATGGGATGCTGAAGATTGCTGATTTCGGGCTTGCGAATTATTATTCGACTAAACGCAAGAGACCTCTCACTAGCAGGGTGGTGACGCTTTGGTATAGAGCTCCTGAACTTTTGTTGGGTTCTACAGATTATGGTGTGGGGATTGACCTATGGAGTGCTGGGTGTCTGATGGCAGAAATGTTTACTGGCCGCCCAATCATGCCTGGGAGAACAGAGGTACTATGACTCATTGATTGAACATCAAAAAGTTTTTATCTTTGTCCAGCAATTCTGTTTACTAGATCAACACGCACCCTGAAGTTGCTTTCTATCTCCACTGATCAAGCAAGGTTTGTTTCTGATACTTTCAGGTTGAGCAATTGCATAGGATCTTCAAGCTATGCGGCACACCATCAGAGGATTACTGGAAAAAACTTAAGCTATCAACAACTTTTCGGCCCCCTCATATATACAAACCGAATATCCTCAAAGCTTTCCAAGATTTCCCTGAATCTTCATTTGGCCTGTTGACTAGTCTTCTTGCTTTAGATCCTGGGTACCGGGGATCTACACACTCAGCTCTCAGCAACCAAGTAAAGTTCCTAGCTTTCACGAATCTATTCATAGATGACCTCCAAATTCATGTTGTTCGAGGGGCTTATTATATATTTTGCTTTGTTGCAGTTCTTCTACACAAGCCCTTTGGCGTGCGACTTATCTGGTTTACCTGTGCTTCGCAAGGAAGAAGATGAACAAGCTAATGAACAGAGGAAGTGAGTTCTTCTCTGATAATCAGCCGGATAATCAATTTCATAAACATCAACATCATTTGATATTGATTTGTCTATTCATGTATTATTGTACTAGCTATGTGTTTGATTTTAAATGTCATGACGGAAAGGAGATGCTAATTAATAGTAGTTCAGTAAGACAGAATGAACACCAACCACATTGTGAAGTTGACTTACTGAAAGACAGTCTAATATGCTAAAGCTTAATCTAATCATCATGACCATCATCACCATTGCAGGTCAAGAAGCTCCAACAGGCAACGAGCCAGGAAGCATCACGAGAGAAGGAAAGAAGTGGCTGTTGAAAGAGACATTGTTCATGTAGAACAGGTACTAACTTGGGTTACATTTTAAGTTTATGTTTTGCATCTGTCGCGGATTTTTTTACTTTTCCAATCTCCTGGATTGGTGCAGGATCCGGAAATGGCGAACTTCACGCCGCTAGAGGTTGGGAGCAGTGCTACAACTGCCACTACTAGCAGTGGAAGTTCCTCCGGAAGGAAGCAGCAGCTAACTGAGAGGAGTGTAAGCCCTCCACCAGCTCTGAATATGTATTCGCCAGTTGATTCATCGCACCGAAAGCTGTTGTTGTCTCCGGGAGAAAGCCCGAGTCCCACGAGCAACAAGAACACGAAGAACCACCTTCCTCCATTACCGATCTCCAAGGCGAGCAGCATCAGATACCTCAAGAACGATGACAATATGTACAGAATTAGAGCAGCAGTAGTTCAGAGGTCTGCTTCTTCAAGGGATTTCAGGAAGTTGAAGACTAGGAAACAACATGTAGAACAACTCTAAGTTCTCCAAAGCCAAATTCCCATTTCTTCATGTTAGGAAGAAAAAAAAATGGGGAAATGGGGGAGAAAGACTTCTGCGCTGCTCTTCATTTTTTAGTTGCTAATCTGCTGCAACTTGAGGGTTTTGTCTTTTTTTATCTAATATAATATTATTTATAAGGTATTTTCGTTTAAACTCATTTACATAGCTTGCTGCAATAAGTAATACATAATACATGTTTTCGCATACAGGTTTTATATATATAATACCGCATATAAATTATGCCACATTTTTGTATGTGAAGTATTTATAGTACTTCTTCATGGTTTAATTTTATTCCAATCTGGTAAAGAAAAAGTAGTTATAGACCCGACCCAGAACAGAAACCAAAACAACATTAAGCACATGCACCGTGAACATTCAATCGTACCTAGATAATCTGACTCAAATTACGACCTGATCCGAACCCGCCCGAAAAATAAAAGTTTCTATAACCCGAAATCCGAATGACCTGAACCCGATTAACCCGTGAATTTTTGGGTCGGATTGGGTGGGTTAGTGGGTCGACCCATTAGTCTCGTTCCATTTCATATGTCACCCCAAAATGGTAAAATCGCTCATAAATTGGTGAGATGAATAAAAAAAAATTCACTAGAATTTGAAAGACATGTTTGGAGAGTATAAGGATAATCAAATATAATGTATTTCTTGTAGTAGTATTACTCTTGTGACTGTTTTTTGACGATTTATGTAATCTACAACATTGAATTACGTTTGTAGTAATACAAAATCTCATGTTTTGTACCGTAACCTGCTTACTATTGACTGTTGTTCACCAAAAAAAATTAATATTGACTATTGTATTGGAATAATACTCGTCTCTGAATTCGTTTGAGATTGGGTGAGCTAATTAATTATATATAGCTAGGCAGCGGTTTAAGTGTCGTCGAGCTTTCTTCTCGATCGGTAAACTAAATTGTGTGCATTGTTCGTATTGTAATTTGGAGCTCGGCCGACCTGTAAAACGCTAATCTGCGATGGGGACGAAGCTGATAAGAGACTTGTGGCTGAGCCTGAAGAACAGCCGCCAATTACTTACACCTAAACCGGTACGTTTGATTACCATGTTAATACAGCTAATTAATTAAGTGATCTGTCCGTTCTTTTCAGGTTTTTTTCATGTAAAAATCGTTTGTTATCTTGGTTATTTGCTTACCTGATATCCATGCCAAAACCCTAAAGTTCTCAACTTGGGACGATAGTTTGTTCCCCCAGTCATATGCATATTTGCGCCATGGTTGAAGTCCGAACATTGAGATCAAATTAGATGTTTGTTATGTATCCCAACACGTACCCTAGCTAAGTAACCCGTGCTCATAGCGGTTAATATTCAGTATGGTGGAGATTTGAATACAAACGCCCTTTTTGATCCAACACTTTCATACCATGTCAAAATTCTAACTAAAATTATTGAGAGAATTTCAAATATGTATTTTATACTGTTGCATTAACACTATATATATATCATAGTTATCTCTCGGAGGACACTATTCTCCTAGTTATCTCTCCATTGGAACTATTTCGATGGATCCCGAAGAATCAAAATTGTCGATACTCCTTTTTAATTAGTAAATATTTTTGGATATTGGTTTAGAACATCAGACCGAAAGTCTATCCATTACAGGTTTAGTTCATTATCTCTACAATTGGAACAAAAACACAATCTAGACCATTACAGGTTTTATTGAGATTCTTCACAATCACTCAATACTAACTTATTTACCTTTGGAACAAAAACACAATCTAAACCTCCAAACAAGATATTTATCTGATACATCAATTGATTCAATCCATCAAATGATAATACACTAATTGTCCCAATACATCAAAAGTGTTTTCTACCACTTAAAAGAGCTTATGAAAAAAGTTGTTTAAATATACAAAGTTAAACAAAATTTTATGTTTCCCTATTAAACATACTTTTGTTTTATTTATATCATTTAAAAATAAAATAATATTATTAAATATAACAGAAATCCAAGAATATCCATTTTAAATATTTTCGTACTTAATTTTTATTTATATTTTATACTGGAAATTGTTTTTAGTCATTTTACATGACCTTGATATTTAAAAAGGTACTTCTAATATTTTATCAACCAAACACTCAACTGCTTTTTTGAAACATATTTCTTTAGAAGTTACAGCTAGAAGTTTTTTTTTTTTTTTTGCAAAAGATATAACATGGCCAAATTAGTCTTTTTTATGTATAGTGCAAAATTTAGATATTGAGATCACATTGATTCTCATATCAATTATAAGATTATAAATTTGGGTGCTTTAGTTGACAAATATAAACATAAATTTGTACATTTGGACTTTCTAAACCTCCTTAGAGTAGGTGAGAAATTAGAGGGAATTGAACATTGTGTCTAAGTATGATAAATGTCCGTACAATTTTAAACTGTGCATATGATAGACTTGATCACAAGTCAATATTCATCAATTACAAATACAATACCTAACGTAAAAGTATGCATTGTTTAATTCAAAGATTGATTGAATGTCGACTGTTTAGTTGAGAAATGAAGAGTTATTTAGTTACGACCTAATAAATCTATATTAAAGACCATAAATATGCACTTGAAATTAGATTGCGCAAAATATAAATAACTTAAAAATACTTTCTTTTGTGTGGGAAACGGAGCGCTAAAATGTGATACAACATTTATCTATTAATAATAAAATGAGAGGTATAAACCCCAATCAAGTCGTGGTACAACCAATATGACAAAATAGGTGATAGAGCATCAATTACTTGAATCCCTGACGGAAGGCCATGGCATAGAGATGCCAGATAGTCTGCAACGACGTTCCCTTTCCTGTAAACATGAACAAGGTCCACTTGCCACTCCAAGCTGATGAGGCGTCGAGCTTCGACAATCAAGACAAAGTGGGGGGTTGCGTACACCCACCAAGGAAAGCAGTGACAATGACGCTTTTGAATCAGTATAAATCACCAGGAACTCCCAATTCCCAAGTTGCACGCATACCATGCAACATTCCCGTGAGCTCAGCTATTGCTACATCCTGCTTGTTTCCCCATGTCCCTCGAAAACATTTGCAGTTGCATCGGCTGCTTCCTGAATATGGGCATGAAGAGCAATCACATTTCTACTCAACTTCTTAGATGTCTCCAGTAACACACCACAACAAATCTCGTCGGGTGAACCACCTCACTCTTAGTCTCTTACCCGATAGGTAATGTAGTATCCATCTCGTCATATCCTTTTGGAAGAAGGTGGCATCGGGTTTGGTGTCCAAGATCTCAGACCAATCCTCCCTTGCATAAGGGCAGTCTCGGACAACATGCAACATCGATTCACCTTCTGCCCCACAAATCGAGCAATTGTTCGTGGAGGAAAGATGACGCCTTTGTCTTTCACTATGTGTGAGTAGCCTTTGGTGCGCTACCATCCAAAAGAAGATGCGGATACGCTGGATTGATGGGGTGCACCATATTTCTCTCCAAAGGGGGTGTGATCCACCTGGTTGTTCCTCCTGGTCAGTGGGAGAATAGGTCGACTTAAGGGAGAAGCATCCATCCAGGTTAAATCGCCACACTAGGACATCATTTCCTTCTTCATGAGGGACAGGGTGCAACTGTATTTGCATTACAACATCAAGAGGCAAGAATGAAGGAATGTAGGGTAAATTTAAACACTTGGCTCGGATCACCCTGGCCCAAAGGCTAGGCTCGGATTAAAAATACTTTAAAGAGGTTAAATATAACAGTGAGTTACTTGTTTATCAAGATTGCATACGAAACTCACCCGACCAATAGGTCAGGGACAAAGCTAGCTAAATTGGATAATTTATTCTTGTTTTGTTTCAGGCTCTAAATATATAGATTTTTTTTCTTAAAAAAAAGAAGAAGAAGAAGAAGAATTTAGTTAAATAAATGATTCCGAATTTATCAAAGCCATGGGCCATCTAATGGCATATTGGGCCAGATGCGATACCCTGGAGTTTCGGCCTTTTTATGCATGTCGATAGGTGTAAAAAGATTATCCTGGGCCCAAAACAGGAGAAAAATTGAAAGAGGCAGACGACCCGAACCTATAAATAATCTCGAATTTGATCCTAACTCAATTCAGATTTCCGTTTCCACCAATTATCCGGTTTTCGAAAAACAAATCCCTAAAAATTTCCCCCCAATTGTTTTGATTTCTTTTTTCCAGTCAATGAAACAAACCCGCTCCACCTCGTCATCACCCCCCTTCGCCTCCACGTCCAATTCGCCGGCGACCGCTGCCGAGCTCCTCCCCGTCCCGGTCTCACCTCCGAGCTCCTCCCCGTCTACCTCCACCGTTAACGCCAAGAAGGAGTCTTGGACGGAAAAAGCTCAATTGGGCTCTGGCCCACGTCTCTCCTGTTGGATCAAAATTAGTTGGGTTGGGCTTTGTGTGTCCTTTAAGCCTGTTATTGAGGTCTAGGATTCGTTACGTTTGTTAGATAGTTTTTTAGTCCAAATAATTCAGTTTACTTGGTCAATGTTTACGTTAGAGAGAGGTCTGTTAGCTGCTGCTGAATTTTAGGATAGTGGGATAGAGGATCAGCTGTTGGTTGGTGGTGAGAGGTGAGTACGAGGGAAACTGATTGTATTTAATCATTTTGTTGGTCTTTCAATAAAGTTTGGTCAGTTTGCCCATTTTTGAGCTTTCATTGTGGTATCAGAGCTCTTTGCAACTGTAACCAAATTATTGAGTGAAAACTGCAAGTTTGTTTGCAGGTGGGAATTTGGGAAACACCAGAGTTGTATTGTGAGGAATACAAAAAGGGAAGAGGTGAGTGAAACCTTAGGTTATTGAGAGTTAAGTGAGTGAGAAGAGTGAAAAAGCTTGTTATCTGGGTTGGGAAACACGAGAGTTACAGGCAAGGCAGCTTCAGATTTGGGTAAGAGCCGCAGAGTTGCTGTGTTAGAAAAGCAATTATGAGTGATAATAGTGATTTTGCTCAGGTCTGTATCCCTAGATTTGATGGGGATTATGACCATTGGAGCATGGTGATGGAAAATTTCCTAAGATCTAAAGAGTACTGGCAGGTTGTACTTGATGGGTTTGAGGAGCCTGCAGAGGGAGTGGAGCTGTCTGCAACCCAGGGGAAAGTCTTAGAGGTAAATCGGTTGAAGGATCTGAAAGTGAAGAACTATTTGTTTTGTTCTATTAACAAAAGCATCTTAAAAACCATCACTCACAAGGCAACAACAAAGGAATTGTGGGTTTCAATGAAAATCAAGTTTCAGGGAAGTGCTAGGGTGCAGAAATCTCGGTTGCA